TCTTTCACTATGTAGCCCTTGCTGACCTGCAACTCTGTAGACCAGGTTGGCTTCAAGCTCCCAGAGTTCCATCCGCCTCTGCTTCCTGAGCAATGGGATTAAAGGCATGCAACACCACGCTCGGCTTGTTGCAGAGGCTGAAGTGAACATTTCTCCTAGCAGTTTTTGTTTTGTTTTATGTATACAGGGTAAAGTCCCATGCTTTCAGTACAGGAGCTGGAGAAAACTCAATATACTTCAATGATCTTGCTGAAGGACAAAGGCCAAGGAAGTTGGTTCAGGGGTTCAGATACTCAAGTCCACATCTCAATTCTTGTGCTATAAAGAAATTGAGATTATGGGTAAATGGGTGGGAGTTAAGTTTATAAAGATACTTTTGGGTCAATTTTTGAGACTCATGTCCACAGAGTGGTAAATCTGTTTTTGTGTCATTCTTCCTGCATCTCTTAGCAAATTGTTTTATTTGTGAGCTTAGAGTCAGACAAGGATATGCCCCAGCCCTTCTGGGAATAGACTAGTTCTGGATTTGAACCTGCAGGCAATGAGTGTCTCTACTAACTCCATGTTGATCTGCATTCCCCAAACAACCCCTTAGGTCTTGAGCTTCATTGGGATTTCACAACTTCCTACTTGAATTCCAAGACTCTACAAAGAGACTTGTCTGTGAGTGGATACAGAATTGGTACTGTGGGAGCTACACAGAGGCAGCTTCCTATTTTGACATTTTGCTAACATCCTTCATTTAATGTCTTTTATCAGAAATTTGTAATTTTTAGAATTTAGAACCCATATGCTTCTTTAGATTAGTATCTAGTTTTTTACTAGATATTAAGGGAAGTGAATGTAAGCAATATTGTCATAAGTTTTAATTTCATATGTCAATATGCTTGTGGATAATATACATCAACTGCTTTAAAAATCATATAAAGTCCACTCACTGTAATATATACTGCGATGTCAGGAATATATTCATCATATAGCGCACCTATGCAGCTATTACATTATTCTGTTTTATTATATCATCTACTTGAATATTTCCTAAATCTCTATGCAGGGAAAATGGAAAAGAAATGAAAACTTCATAAGATAGAAGCTAACAGAATTAAATATTCTAAAATAGTTTTACCTCTTTACAACTAATTATGCATACAACACATTTGGTTAAATGTGCATAAAGAAAAATCAATGTTCTATTTATGTTCAGCAACTAATTTTCAAATATTTTCAGTAATTTGTTTGACAAGGCATAATTATGGGTGGGTTTGTTTGTTTTCACTGATGGGTAAGTTTGAAATTAATATCTTTTATTGACAGTTATTTTTGAAGTATCCAAACAGTAGGGGAAAATTGACTACATATATTAAAACAGCAAAAAGTCACTAAATTCTTTATGCTTACATATTTATTCTATGTGTGGATTTTCATTCATGGGTTATGGCATCTTATTTTAAACAGCTTTGAGGAATAAAATGAGTATGAGAATACACAGCACAAAGGTATTTAAAGTTTCATGAATTCTGGAATAAATTCACTTGATTACATTTTAAATGTGGAGGTGCTCTTAGCACTGAGAGAAAAGAGGGAGGCATTTAGAGCAATACACTTATTTACAGGTGAGAAGACTGACATCCTCTGAGATCATTTAGAATATTTACGATGCTATATCTCTTCAGCGGCAAAATTGAGCACTTTAGCCCATAGGATCTTAGTCCCAGTCCACCTTCTCACAGTTAACCACAATTGTAATGAATAAATGATCAAGCAAGTTTTCAAACCAATCTTAAGGTAATCCATCTAAACTATAATTTCCCACACAATTAGATGCATCCCATAGTCCATTTGATTCAGTAACTGGACAGATAGACTTGAGTGGTCATCCTGAAATTTAATATACTCATAGAACAAACGTATTAGGTCTTAATTTATCATCCACCACATATTTTAAGGAAATTAAACTTTTGGAGACATTAATTTTCTGCCTTCAATATGAAATGAAGAAATGAAGCAATTTTTTCACTAATTCAGAGGAAAAGCATTTATTTGAAATGACTAAACTGTGGCAAACATTGCTCCAAATTCTAAATGGTCAGTTGCTATAGTGCTCTGCCTTCATGTCACATACCCAGGTCTTCACACTGTTGAGTATTATCTGTTTCAATAATAAAATAATGTATATTCTCCTATCAGCAAATTGTATATTTGCCCTGTACCTGCCTACTGAGTTTGAAATTTGGGTTATAGATTTATTATTTATCCATAAAGACATTTCGCAGATGTGCTTAGTAATTTTTAATTAGTTATCATGCTGGGTAGCCACTGTGACATGATGCTTTATGAAGATGAGGAAATGATTTCAGCACTGAAAAAAAATCCATTAACCAAACAAATTTAAACAGAACTTTCATGCTTGAAAGAAGAGAAAATTGATCCTTGAATTTGAAGTAACATGTTATTTGAGAACTCTGTGGTTTTACTGATTTTAATAGCTTTATGGAGAAGGAAATTAAAGTTTTCCAGCCTTACAAGTCTTCAAAAATAATGAAGGTAGTTTGATGAAAATAAATACAGTGTTTATAGAATCCCAAGGACATTTTACTGAGTGTTTAAAGTGCCTCAGGATCTTTGCCATATAAACTTTCTCAGTGTTCCCAGAGAATACGTGATTGGTAGCATTTGACTACTGTTTCGCATCATCTGGGATTAGGGAAAACACAAGGGTACTTCTTACCTTTGTTTTACATTTTATTTCGTTTGCTTTCTTTTATACTATAGCTTTAATTATGTAAAAACATGTGAATTACTTAAAACTTTGCTTTTTATAAGTGTTGCCTTAAGTGATGTTTAGGGGAGGAAATAAACAACGATTAAGGAAATAACTATTAGTACACACACACACACACACACACACACACACCATTCTCAAGGTCTCCATTGCCACAAGTGCCAAAAATCCTCAGAGAGATATGAAGTCTACAATACTTCACCTACTCATTTTTATATAAGTGATCTGAAGCTCACTGAGCTTAGGAGACTTGTCTAACATAGCAGAAATAATAAATTTCCGAGTACAGAGTAGAATCCAGTGTTTTCAGCACTAAATGGAGCATTCTTGAACTGCCACTCAGTGTTCTCCTAATGGTTCTTACTGTTTGTTCAATCAGCTACAGATAGGCTTTGAGTAAAGTGTGTACGGACACATTTCAATTATCCCCCATATGGCTAAATCCGTGGCAATTTGTTTTTAATCCTAGACCACCTGCATGGGCAAGAAAAAAAGGAACAGAATACACTTAATAATTTCAAGGCTGGTAAGCCAGGTGGGAAAGGAAATAACAAAATTCATGCAGTGTCTTAGGAATATGATTTGGGAAAAGGTCAGTCTAAAAGAGAAACTGCAAGCAAGGCACATGAGAATAAAATTGGTTTCACAGTCAGAGTAAGGAGGGAGCTACAGGTGACTTGATGACAAGAGGAATGGAATGCTATGGAATGCTCTGTGTGCTCTATGGGACTTGTTCCATGAAAGCATGCTGTTACTGGCTTACAGTCAATTAGAAGTTAGAAGTAAAGCTTAATTATGGTTGCTATGTTTGTTTCCAAGCAGAATTATATTATGATTAGGCAAGCAGAATTGCTACAAAAGAAATTGTAGGCTAACTCTCCCAATTCCCAGCTTCAGTGAGCAAATTAAATTGAACATACAAGCTATTCTAAAACTTCAAGCAGGATTCTTTGTCTAAACATATTTTTAGGCATCATTTCTCTACTATGCTCATAGAATAAAGCATTTTGATATTTCCAAAAAGAAACAAAATTAGTGTAGTAAATAATCATGAATCCATTTATTAATTCAAGGAACATTAGCTTTTACGTGCCAGCGAAATTGTAAGTGCAGGTACACATTGATATAAATGATAATATAAAAAAAAGCTAACTCAAAGTGACATGAAAACAGTCTTTTCCTTTTAATCCAACCAAGTTTATTTCTATCCCATTTCTGTTCCTTATTATTTGAATGGCATTGGAGAAGTCATTTAATCACTCTAAATCATAGGTCTAACAACTGTATAACGAGAACTAATCGTTTAGCACTATTGTGAGAACTAAATTACACAAAGCATGAAAAGTATCCACCATCATGCTTCACACACTATGGGAAAAAGACTGACAACAAAAATTCCATCAGAAATGATTTGGGGCTTCCTAGTTGACCACTGAGATACACGTTTCTTTGTTCTTCTCTCTCCATGGGACTGCAAATGGCCATACATTTCCTACCACGGCGGACCATTTTCCTTCACTATATAGCCCCGAATAAACCCAGGCTCCTTTACACTACTTCTTGTTAGATATTTGGTCACAGTGATGGGAAAGGTAGCTAATACAAAATATTGCTTCTAAAAAGCACAGCTATTGCTATGACAAACCTGACCGTGTGCTTTGCAGACCTTTGGAACTAATTCATGAGAAGAATGTAGAAGAATTTGGAACTGAAAGCTAAAGAAATCCCAGAATGCTGTAAGCAGAGTTTTGATTGGAGAATCTAGTAGAAGTGCAGAAAAATACAATGTTGAGAGAAGTATGGACAGTGAGAGTCTGGCACATCAAGTTCCCAGAGAGAAAAAAGGACTCTTTCAGAAACTGAGCTAAGGGTCATTTATCTCATATTTAGGCAAAACATCTGGATTATTCCACTCATGTCCTGAAACTCTGAGTGAGATTGAGTTTAAAAGTAATGAGCAAATCGTTTGGAAAGAGGATATTTTAAGACAATGCACCATGCAGACAAAGTTATTTTCAGACAATGTAGCATAGCTTTGTTTATTCATTCTGCGATGTTTATGGTGAGAATTCAAATAAAAAAGCTAAGCAGTAATAAATGTGTGGTTTGTCAAGGGAAGGAACATGAACAAGGTAAAACCATGGGCATGGAGGAAAGGCTGGCACACCTGGAAATGACTATAATTACTAAAGACATCAGGATCATTGGCAAGACAAACCTGCAGGTCAGAGTGGTCCAAGGCTTGAATCCCAATACTCAGGAAGCAGAGGCAGACAAATCTCTGTGAGTTCCATGGCAGACACAGTTGTCCCTGTCACAAGACAAAGGTGGAGTTGGAGGGAGAGACCTTGCACTCTACACCCTGACAACAGAAGTTACATCTTGAGAGAAAAACTCTCATTTATTGTGGGATCTAGGGATACAAAATTATGGATTCATTTTGAAAGGAAAATCCCTAAGAAAACAGAGCCTCCAGGGCACTCTGCCACATAAGGGAATATTTTACAAGGTTGGGCTGTGAAAGCACACAAAAGCTGCTCCAGATGTCATCCATAGAAGTCTCGCTGCATATTGAAATGGCAGAACTTGGTGCCTTCCGTGTAGTGCTGAGTTTGCAAGCATGTAGGACGAAAGGGTCATGAGGACAGAGACTTTCACTGAGGCCTGAGAAAGCCACTGAGGTCAGTTGACATTGGGCAGGATCTAATTCCCATCCTGGAGTTTCTGAGCCATCTGTGCATGGAGTTGTGAAGGTAAAGGGCTAAGCTTCAGTGGACAAATCAAGGCACTGGAGGTGGCTGAACTAACAAGTCTTTATCAAGAAAAGCTGCAAGCACTGAGTGGAACTGGCCCAAAAGAGGCCATAGTTGTCCCAGGCAACAGGGTTTGCATGGTAGGGCTACAACCCAAACCTGTTGAAGTCTAGATGTTATTACAGAACCCCGATTCTAGGCAAGGAGCTGCATGATATGCTATTTGTCCCGGTAATTCTCAATAGTGCTTTGATTTGTTGTTACTTTGTTCAAGTTTCATCTTTTTTTTTAGAAGAAAACTTGTTACCCTGGGCCATTGTATAGGAGAATTATATCACCTGGCTTTTGAAAAATAAAATAAAACATTGCAGGAGTCTCAGAAAAATACTTTGGACTTTTTGTTGTTTTGTTTTCTGAGACAAGGTTTCTCTATATAACAGTCCTGGCTATTCTGGAACTTGCTCTGTAGACAAGGCTGGTCTCAAACTCAGAGAGTCACCTGCCTGTCTCCAGAGTACAGGGATTAAAGGCATGTGCCCCCCCCGCCGGTGACTTTGGACTTTTTTTTTCAATTTTTTATTTACATTAAAAACAATGTTATTTTACATACCAATCCCAGTTTCCCCACCTTCCTGTCCTCCCACTCCCCCCACCATCCCTCCATCCCACCCCCACCCACTCCTCAGAGAGGGTGAGGCCTCCCGTAGGGGATCATCAAAGTCTGTCACATCATTTGGGGCAGGACCAAGGCCCTCCTCCTTGCATCTAGGCTGAGAGAGTATCCTTCCATAGGGAATGAGCTCCAAAACACCAGTTCATGCACTAGGGATAAATACTGGTTCCACTGCCAGGGGCACCATAGACTGTCCAAGCTCCCCCTACAACTGACACCCATGTTCAGGGGCCTCGTTTGGTCTTATGCATGTTCCCCATCTGTCAATCTGGAGTCCATGAGCTCCCATTTGCTCAGGTCAGCTGTTTCTGTGGGTTTCCCCAATATGTTCTTGACCCCTTTGGTCATCACTCCACCCTCCCTCTCTATAATTGGACTCCAGGAGTTCAGCTCAGTGATAAGCTGTGAATCTGTGCTTAGAATGGATAAAGAAAATGTGGTACATTTACACAATGGAGTACTACTCAGTGGTACAAAACAATGACATCTTGAAATTTGCAGGCAAATGGATGGAACTAGAAGAAACCATCCTGAGTGAGGTAACCCAGACACAGAGAGACAAACATGGTATGTACTCATGTATAAGTGGATATTAGACATAGAGCAAAGGATAACCAGCCTACAATCAACAACCCCAGAGAAGCTAGGAAACAAGGAGGACCCTAAGAGAGACATACATGGACCTTCCCCCCGACCCAGAGAAGGGGAAAGGGACAAGATCTCCTAAGTAAATTGGGATCATGGGGGGAGGGGAGAGAGAGGTAAGAGGGAGAGGAGGGAGAGAAGGGAAAGTGGAGGAGAACATGGGGGATCAGGAAGGTCGAGTCTTGCAAGGTATCTCTTGCAAGGAAAGGGATACCTTGATAGAGTGCGCTATTATTTGACTTAACAAGAAACCCGGCACTAGGGAAATTCCCAGGAATCCACAAGGATGATCCCAATTAAGAAGCTAGGCAATAGTGGAGAGGCTACCTTAAATGCCCTTCCTCTATAATGAGGTTGATGACTACCTTAATTGCCATCACACAGACTTTGGACTTCTAAACACTGTTGAAACAGTAAGATTATTGGGGGTTTTGAAGTTGGACTGAATGCATTTTTCCTTATGAGATGACCATGGGGTGTCAGAGACATAATGTTATTGTATGAATATAAAGGATCCCGCATAGGTCCATGCATTTGAATATTTGCCCTAGAATGCTGATTTCGAAGCTTGTGGAGCCTTTAGGAAGTGAGGCCTTGTTGAAATAAGTGGCTTATCCCGGAAAACATGTCTCAAGGTGCACAGCTTAGCTCTGCTTCTGTTCCTTCCTCTGCTTTTTAGTTACTGAGATGTGAACAAGCCACTTGATGCTCCCACCATCAAGGAGTCACCTGCTGGCCTGCCTTCCCTTACACCATGAGATGGAATGAATCTTACTCCAGTTCTGTTGCTTTTTATTTGTTATTTGTTCACAGTGATGATTAAAGGAATTAACTACACCCAGAAATTCATCAACTAGGCCCCCAGCATTCCATATGAAATAAGGATTCTTTATGAGTAGTGGCATATATCTGTTTCAGTGCCCCAGGTTACAAATGAAGATTCTGATAGTTTTAGCTTTGTCTTTCTTGCTTAGGTAGTCTTAAAACAGAAGCAATTACTAATTAAAAACTAGAAATAGAGCCCCCGATTGCAATTGTGTTCATAATATCCTAATGTAATGAAGAGTTCTGCAATTTATAAATGATTCATTTCATAAAATTTGATACTAACGACTGCTGAAATTGCTTTTGAAGAAGTAGTCTAGAATTTAGAGGGTATATTCATGATAAAGCTCCCTTCTAAGTCTAGTGTTTGATTGACAAATGAAGCAGCAAGAGATAGCAATTGGAGGTTGTGGTTTTCGAACTTAATCATAGGCTACATACAGGGTTTCTTTTAATAACTGTCTATGGCCTAATTTTTCACAAATTTGACATATTTTGTCAGATACATGCATTTTATAGAATATGTTTCAAATTGGTGTTATTAAAACATTGATAATCTTATTTCCTCAAGACATATTCTTTTGTTGATTCCTTGAAAGTAATTTGGAAGGTACAGTTTAAATATGTACGTTTTGTTATGTTGATTTTTAAAAATTTGGTGCTGCTACGCTACTTCTTAATTGTTTATATTAGTACAGATTAATTTTACCAATTCATTGCTTTCACACTGGGATATTTCTACACATGTGTAAAACAGCTCATTCTTCACACAAATCCACACTTTTTCAACCCTTGCACCCAGTACCCCTAATAATCACTCTTCTAATTTCTTTTTAAAAGACCTATTTTTTTAGTTATATGTATAGGGGGCACAGTTACAATGACTATAGGTGCCTGGAGAGACCAAAGGAATCTGGTCTTAGGAGCTGAAATCAAATGCTGGGCATGGGTGCTAGGAACAAAACTTGAAGCACATACTCTTAGCCACTGAGGTATCCCATCCCTTCTTCATAGGTTTCTAAAGCTAGGTATAGTGATGAAGGTACCAAAACCCGAGGAAGTGAGTTTTTGCCAAGATGAAGGTAGTCTTCCTCTCATGATATTATTTCATCTATCTTCCCTCTTGTGTGAGATGTGAATAAACACAGTGTACACTGGAAAGTTGCTTTACCATGTTCTCCATAATCTCAATACACAAATGATTGCCTGCCTAACAATAGCAGACATTCTTGAGTAGCCATTTTCTAATGTGATGACTCCCACAAGGTAAAGTATAGAGATAAGGTAGGCTATAGAGATAAGAGGGCTACAAAATATAATTAATAATACCTATTTAGATAGTGGATGCTTTAAGACAGATTTACAGATAAATTAAAGTGTTTACTATAATTTGTTTTTCTGATAGTTATATTATAGAACAATAGCATTATATCAATTCTATAAAAATACTCCTTTTATTTATTTTCTTAATCTTTTTACATGCTTACAGGCTTAGAGATATCCAAAGACATTTTATTATTTTTTTTCTTTTTATAAACTAATGTTTGTGCCGGGCGTTGGTGGTGCACACCTTTGATCCCAGCACCCGGGAGGCAGAGGTAGGTGGATCTCTGTAAGTTTGAGGCCAGCCTGGTCTCCAGAATGAGTGTCAGGATAGGCTCAAAGCTACACAGAGAAAGCCTGTCTGTCTCAAAACAAAAACAAAAACAAAAAAACCCTAATGTTTGTATTTTAATGTGCTACCTCTAGGTGGGGATCATGTATGTGTATTCTTATATGTTTACTACTTCAATCAATTTACCATTTTATATGATGTAACAACATTGTAGGATAAGGTAAAACCTGAGAAGGCCAATGTACTGGGAGAAATCAACATATGCATTCATATTCATTTAGCATTGTTTGTTTGGTTTTTTGTTTGTTTGTTTGTTTTTCGAGACAGGGTTTCCCTGTGGCTTTGGAGGCTGTCCTGGAACTAGCTCTTATAGACCAGGCTGGTCTCGAACTCACAGAGATCCGCCTGCTCCTGCCTCCCGAGTGCTGGGATTAAAGGCGTGAGCCACCAACGCCTGGCTTCATTTAGCATTGTTACACACACTGTGTGTGCATAGACACATCTCACTACATTTCACAGATCTTGAATACAGGTAACCACATGAGTGATATTTACTTCATATGTATAAAATCACAGCTAATATACACAAAATTATTTAATATGTTAAATCACAAGACAATGAATATTTGGTATAAAGTATTCATGATTATGTATAAAAGACATTCAATAGAATCTTTCCCTAATTTTTTTTTTCTGCACAATTTTCTCTCTTTTTTCGTAAAGACAGAGTCTTTCTACATAGTCCTGGTTGTCCTGGAACTCTCTATGTAGACCAGTCTGGCCTTGAACTCATAGAGATC